TCATGCTTGGGAGGGTGGAGGGACAGCGCAGGAGGGGAAGACCCTCTATGAGATGGATTGATTCGGTGACTGGGGTAATCGGGATGGCTGTTGTCCATAGGGAGCGGCACTGCCACCACACAGATTTTGACTCTCTGGAGCATAGAAGTAAATCTACCAAGGAACCTCTGAGCGGACTCAAACTTACTCAAATTTACAACCTTCCAGTTAAAACTCAGGATTTGCACCACCCAGCTCAACTATCTTAGCTCTACTAAGAAAAAAAAACCAAACCAAAAACTGAGATGAGATTTACATAAAATTGCAAGAAATAAAACAAATTTCAACCAAAAAAATCCATTTACTATGACATGTATTTATACAACAGCAGAAACAATTAATTTGCCCTTACCAAGGATGAGGAGATGGTGCAAGATTACACGATGCTTCCTTCTGTCACCGGAGTTGCCATGAGTTGGAGACAACTGGATGGCAACTAATAGCTAACAATGTTAGGAGAAGGTTGAATGGCATTGTGATGGTGGGAAGGCATTTAATCAATGAAAGAATAAACAAATGTAATAAAAAATATCTATATAAGGTTTGAGCAATTGTAATTGGAAATCAGTCCTCATTTCAGCTCTGGTTCTTAACTACTTGCATCTTAAATATATCTACTCAGTGTCATCGTGTCAGAATTGGCTAAGAGCTGGCCCTCCTCCAGGTCTTCAGGGGCTTTAAGTCACACGGAAGGAGACTGCCTGTCTTTCTCCTTTGAAACCGCTGGTGGATTCCAACTGCCAGAGAGGTGCCACCCTATGCACACTTTAACACCAGAGCTAATATGTAGTGAATATAAATTTCCTTCTCTCACTTCCAGACAATTCCATGCACTGGACGCGACCTCATAAGCCCAAGGCCCCAGTGGAATCTGTTTACCAATCCCAGGCTCCCTCTGCTGATGTGGAGATGACGGGCTATGTGCTCCTTGCTTACCTCACTGCCCAGCCTGCCCCCACATCGGAAGAACTAACTACTGCATCACGCATTGTGAAGTGGATCACAAAGCAACAGAATTCCAATGGGGGCTTTGCTTCAACTCAGGTCTGTGGTCTGTCAGGACCTTTTAGTAATACTTCAGTTTTAAGTAGCAATTGTAGTTGTTAAATGCCTTCAAGTGGAGTACCACTTCTAGAGACCCAGTGAGTAACACATCTGAACCCTGTCCTAACCTGTGCCATCCTCACCATCTCTGATACAGTCGAGTCCATTGATGCAATCACTGTCTCAATCACTGTCTTTCATTAACTTTTCCAGGCATGATTTCCCTTTCCAAGGAATAGCCTCTCAGGTAACAATGTTGTTGTTATTGTGTGCCTTCTAGTAGGAACTAACTCATAACTGACCCTCCAAAAATGAAGATGACAATAATGTGAAATGGAGAAAAAGATTTTGGTATTCAGAGAAAGTGATATATAAGGGGAAACTAAAATCAAAGAGGACTGAAAAAAATGCCTTGGATTCTACCTCCCATCCCTCTGTCATTAACACAATTTCTTATTTCCAACAAGCATATCTCTCTAGAGAAGTAGTGGGGGTTCAAGACACTGTGCTCAGCATAATGAGTAAAAACATCTTCTACAATTCTTTTGGAAGTTCCAAGAGTCCTTTTCAAACTATGTCTAAGAATTCTCCTCTGCACCCAACAATCTCTTCATGCAAATCTCTCCATGCTTTGATTTAATTCAAATGGGAAATTTTAAAGCTGATCCATTTCATGTTTTTCTTATTCATCTCTTAATACAAAAACATTTGTTTGCAGAAACATAATATATTTATTTATCCAATCTCCTGATCCTATTATGTAATCCCGTATGTAGAAAATAAATCAATTTCTATGCCAGACATTTCCATCATCAGCTAATTTAGGTGTAAAATTTTACTCAACTAAGAAGAAAATGTGACAAATATCCACATAAACATTTTTTCCTTGTAATTAATCTCTTGGTTTTCCATCTGAATAGAAAAATAATAATTTTGTTAAAACATCTATTTATCTCAGGAATCTGTTAGTTTGAGACTGTTAGCTCAGTGTTGATGAGAACTGAGAATATGGCATACCAAGGGAATCAGTAAGCACAAGAAATACTCTAATAAAGAAAAGGAGAGCCAAATAAAAGTATCACTAAATCCAGAAGTTAATTACAGTTATTAATATGTTACTTGTCTTGGAGAAATTGCTGCACAGCCTTGATCATCACTACTAATGGACTTTTGTTTTTCCTGAAACTTCAGAAGCAGAGGAGAGTTTAAGTTGCAGACAGAGCTAAACTTTGGTTGAGTAGTGGTAGATCTTATCACTAATGTTAAGACCGACCCTGGAAACTAAGGGCTGATTGCAAGGAATACTCCCTATTCACGTATATTCCACCTTTTCAATACCTCACATATGTTTATAGAGAAAAAATATAAAATTCCTGGGAAATAAAATAATAGCTAAATGTTATGATTCTAGCATCTCTCTAAAGATTACAATCCATTTTCATACTGTTAGCGGTGGTTGTTAAGTGCCATGAGCTGGATGGAGTACAACTCATAGCGACCCTATGAACAACAGATGTAAACCCCATCCTATCCTATGCCATCCTCATCATCTCCATCTCCAACACACTTACATGCATTGCTGCAGTCACTGTGTTGAAATCTGTCTTGCTGAGGGTCTTCCTCTCTTTCACTGACCCTCTACATGTAGAAGTCTACAATTTAGATAGTGAGGGGAGACAGATGTCAAAGCTTCTTTGTCGTAGCTTACAGGGCCTTGGAGAAAATTGTTGTGCTCAACCTGTGCATGAAGTCTTGCCCATCTCTTACAGGACACAGTGGTGGCTCTCTATGGTTTGTCCAGATATGGAGCAGCTACTTTCTCCAAGACAGAGAAGGCTGCACAAGTGACCGTTCAGGACTCACAGGCCTTTTCCACAAATTTCCAAGTGGACAACAGCAACAAGCTGTTGCTACAGCAAGTCTCATTGCCAGAAGTTCCTGGGAAATACAGTGCAAAAGTGACAGGAGACAGATGTGTCTACCTCCAGGTGAGACTCGTGGGAGAGATGGGGCCACCAGATACTCACTAACACTTTTCAATGAAAAGTCTTAACTGGGCAAATCAAAATTGAAAAAGTTGAGAGGAATACAATGGATGGCAGCAAACTAGATTTCTTTTTTTCTTTGATATTTCACAGACATCTTTGAAGTACAATATTATCCCAGTGAAACAAACATTCCCATTTGCTTTAGAGGTAATGACTACACCCCAAACTTGTGATGGAGCCAAAGCACACACTAGCTTTGAGATCTCATTGAATGTCAGGTAAGACCGTCTGAGTGTATCACCTAATGCTGAGAGTAACACCAGTCTACCAACTAGAACTTCTATAATGGACCACCAGTATGATGATGAATGTTTGCCTTATAGTTATTAAAAAAGTGTGACCTCTTACATTGACAAAATGGAATTTCCCAATGATAGGGTTTATACTGTCTATACGTAAAGACCTTTTTTTGTCCATCCTTATTTTTGAAAGGTTAATAATTCTCCCAAATAATAACTAAATAAAGAACACCATCCTTTATTTCTGCTCTGAACTCTGTTGGTCTAATGAAATCCTATAATGTTCTTGGCCTATCTGAGATAGAGATAAGAATTCCTGAAAAGTTTGAATAGGAGGAGGAAGTTATTTCCTGGTTAGAGTTCCTTCTATCAATAAAAAAAATTAGATTAAATATAAAATAATGTTCCAGGAAAATGCAAATATATGTGGCGACATTCATATAGTTACTGTATTTAATTTTTAAAAAAGAAAGAAAATTAACTATCCTCAAAGCATACTATAACTTGGTTGGGGATGATATTCAGGAAAATTGTCAAGATAAAAAGTGTATAACCAACAAATGACATACATTAGCCATCTCAGGCCCAGGCTATGCATCATTTATAAAGCTTTCTTAAATACATATCCGCAGGGGCTACACACTTGAAATTTTAGTGTAACAGCTTTAGAATATGCCTAGTTCTCTGTGGCTTTAACAAGAGCCCCCTTACGCTGCACAATCAGTTCTCCAAATCATTGGGGAAGGATATTAAGGGAAATTTACATGGAACCTTTAGAGATGTTACATGCTGGAGTTCTAGAAAAAGAGAATGTTTACTAACATAGAAAATATTGATTCCTTCCCCCTTTGGTTATTTAGTTACACAGGAAGCCGTTCTGTCTCCAATATGGTGATTATTGATGTGAAAATGGTATCTGGTTTTATTCCCCAGAAACCAACAGTGAAGATGGTGAGTTTATTATGATCCAAGTAAAACCTGCTTTATTTAACATTTTGGGTATCACCAGACTAAGAAAATGCTAATATTAAAATAATAGTTGTCAAAAATCAGTCACAAATGTACAATTATGATATAAGACCACTAATACTCAAAATAAAGGAAATATAACATTA